GGTCAAGAAGTTAGGATTTCGATACACAGCAGAATACAACGCAACTGTAAGGAAAGATGAAATCACAGCATTTTTTTTTTTAACCAGGTGCACGAAACCAGAGGGCATCCTTTGTGTTAAACAAAGCAAGTCAGAGGGAGGACAAATACCAGATGATCTAATGTATCTGGGGAGTATACAGTCACAATAAGAACACAGACAACGCTGAACAATGACCAAGCCCTTGACACTGGGGTACAGAAGCAGTTATCAAAGAGAGTGTGAGGAAAGGGGCCAGAAGAACACACCAGGGTCAGGCAGAGTCGGGGAAGGTGGTAAATATTTTGGTGGGGGGTGGGGTGGAGAATAAGTTTGTATATCAATTTCATAACTTAGCAATAGCACAGTGGTAGGGCGTTTGCCTTGCATGCAGCCAGCCCTGCTGAGCCGGGTTTGATTCCTCCACCCATCTCGGAGAGCCCGGCAAGCTACTGAGAGTATATATTTAATATGCCAAACACAGTAACAAGTCTCAAAATGGAGATGTTCCTGGGCCCATTCGAGCAAATCAATGAACCACGGGAGGACAGTGTTTGTTTGTTTAACACCATTATAACTTCTAAGCTATAATAAATAGCATTCTTAAAAGAATATAGAGGGTGCTGGAGTGATAGCACAGCAGGTAGGCCATTTGCCTTGCATGCGGCCAACCGGGTTTGATCCCTGTCATCTCATATTGTTCCCTGAGCACTGCTAGGAGTAATTCTGGAGTGCAGAGCCAGGAGTAACCCCTGTGCATCGCCAGATGTGATCAAAAAAGAAAAAAAAGAAAAAGAATATAGGGTTGGGACTGGAACAATAGTTCAGTGGGTAGAGCGTTTGCCTTGCACACAGCTGACTCAGGTTCAATTCCCAACATCCCATGTGCTCCCATGAGCACCACCAGGTGTGATTCCTGAGTGTAGAGCCAAAAGTAACCCCTGATCATCGCCAGGTGTGACTCAAAAAACAAAACAAAACAAAAAAGCACACACAGTGAGAGATGGGGTTGAGGAGGTAGTTAGTACAGTCGTGAGCGGGGCATTGACTTGCACGCAGTTGACTGACAGTTCGATTCCCAGCATCACATATGGTCTCCCAAGCATCACTAGGAATGATCCCTGAGGGCAGAGCCAGGAGTCACTCAGGAATCATTCCTGGCAGCTGCCGGGGATCCATATAGGATGTCAGAGATGCACCCGGTTTGGTCTCATGCAAGGCAAGTGCCCTGTCCGTTGGACTATCACTCCAGCTGCCCAAGTGCATCTCTGAGGATACTTCCCAGCTTCCACATGGAATGGACAGAGCAGGCTGATGCTTCTCCTCAGCCCCCGACCCCCAGACAGCTCCAGACACAGAAGCCCTTCCATCTCCCCCAGGGGCTGAGCAAATGTGATTTTCTGTGTGACAATGGGGGAAGACCTGGCTTGATGTGTTCCAGATGGCTCCAGCCTCTGCATCACACCATGACTGAAGTCTCTGCCCAGCCTGCTCCTGCCTGGGGGAGAGCACCCTGGGGTCCTGGGGGATGCCCAGTGCCACTGACAGGAGCTACTGACAGGCCTCAGTGAGCCCCGAGAGGCTCGTGGGAGGATGACTTAGTGCTGGTCGCACACACCCCAACTTTCACCGGAGGCACCCTGTCCTCTGCCACTCAGTTCCTTATCTGGAACTAATCCCACACAGAGATGCTCAGAATGAAAGCAGTGGCCAGTCTTAAACACCCAACCAAACAGGAAGTTGAGAAACCTGCACTACTGTGTAGGGGGAAATTTATCCAGAAAAACAAAAACAAAAACAAAAACATGAGGAGTATTACTCTCTGCTCTGTCAGAGCTCATACACTTTATTTAAAAATAGAAATCCCCCCTCTGCAAGATGCAAAACATTCAATCAAAAGGACATGTGCTCTATTATCCATTGCAGCGCCAAGCGCAATAGCCAAGACATGGGGTCAACCTGTGTGTCCAACGACAGATGAGTGGATTGTGAACGTGTATTGTTTATACATAATGGAATACTATGCAGCTGCACAGAAGGGCGGAATCATGCAATTCACACCTTGGATGGAACTGGAGAAGTAAAGTAATCAAAAAGAAAAACAAACATGAATGATCTCACTGCCTGTGGAATATAGAATACCCAGATGAGAGAATGCAGGGTATTGGAGGGTGGAAAACTCATCACCCCTGACCCCAGAGTACAGGAAGATCAGAGAAGGAAAGAATTTCAGGGGAGGTAGCAAGAAGAATGGGCACTAGCAGGGGGCAGGGGTCAAAGGCCTTGGGTACATGGGTGGTAGAGATGTACCCACAAGAGGTGGCATGGCCATCTATCCAAACCACAGGCCAGCAACACAGAGCAGAGATCCAAACCACAGCAACCAAAAGGGAAAATATGCCCATCAGGGAGGCAGGTTGGGGGTGTGTGAGGGGACCTGAGGACGGTGATGAAGGGGAGTTGACAACCATGGTGGGACTGGTGTTAAAAGATAGTATACCTAAAACTCAACTATGAATAACTTTGCAAATAATGGTGTCTTGATAATAATAATAAATTTTAAACAAATAAATGATTTAAATGGAGACCCCAACAGAAAAACAAAATGATAAGGAGGAGAAACACAGAATACAATACAATAGGCATGAAAATGTGGAGAGATGTGCAAGGTCATTCATATGCAAAGGAATCTGTGCATGTGTGTGTGTGTGTGTGTGCGCGCGCGCGTGCTTGCACACACATGTATGTGTGTGGTACTGGCTCGAACCCAGGGCTTCACACAAGCAAATTGAGCATGTTGTCACAGAACTACATTCCCAGTCTTCAGAAAGGAAAAGAATCAGAGTGGAGTAGTTGGTCCACAACTGCTGGTCCTCAGGGCTTAGTCCTAACTCATTGCCTAACTCCTAGTGGTATTGGGGTGGAAGGGGAAGGTATAACCATATGAGATTCTGGAGATCAAAGCAGGGTCTGCTGCATGTAAGTCAAGCACCTAAGTCTCTGTACGATCATGCTTAATTTTTTTTATTCTGTTTTGTTTTTGCACCAAACCATTGCTTGGGGGCTTCACCCAGCTCTGTGCAAAACTCTGAGAGTTTTTGCTCCCAGCAGAGCTCTGGGGACCATCAAACCTTGCATCATGCATGCAAATCATACTCTTAAGTCTCCATGTTTTAAAACATTGAAAAGCTAGGGCCCAGAAAGATAGTATAGGGGTTAGCACTTGTGTTGCATGTGGCCAACCTTGATGCAAAGCTCTGGCAGCAAATATGGTTCCCTGAGCACCACGGGGGCTACTCCTGAGCACAGAGCTAGGAATAGATTCTGAGCACTGCCAGGTGTGGTCCCATTGCCTACCCCTCCCCCACGAAAAAAAAAGCCAATTAAACAATTTGGTCTTCCATGCATAGACCTTGGCTGTCCACAGCATGAGAACCACAGGCTGCCTGGGGGTCTTTCTCACGTTTTCCCTGGCTGATCAATGCTTCCTTTGCAATGTTCCCCTCTGCTCCATGGGAAGGAGAGACAAATCTACAGCCCCGCCGGGACCCAGGCATCTATCAATATGGCAGGCAGAATTCTCCAACTCCGAACAGCCCAAATACACATCACTCAATATTGCCTCCACCTGTGTGGCTGGTGAGGTCAGCCTCAGTGAGCCTGGGAATGGGGGTGCCAAGCACCCAGGTTTAGATGTGGAGACCCCGTGTCCCCACCCCTCAGGAATCTCCAATCAGCTGAGGAGTTCAGAGAAAATGGGGGAGGAGGGTCCCTGCAGATGTTTAGAGGGGCTGTGCTTCAACTTGCCTCTTAGAAGGATGTAGGGAATGGGGTGACTCCTGGGATTTGGAAGAGCCCAGCAGTCAGTGGCAGGACCATCCCCTGGCCGAAGGCAGTCACCGGAAGCAGGGAGAAAGCTGTGGTGACAGCTGATGACAGGCAGATATCAGTGTGGAAGGGAGGACGGATTTTCAGCGCCACGGAGGAGGAAACCTTCCCCTCCCTCCAGGGTCTCTCTGGGCCCCTCAGCAGCTGAGACTGTGACCACCAAGTCTAGCTAAGAGCAGGAGGCTGGGCAGGAGAGAATTCAGTGGGCTGAGCTCTGCATGCAGAGGACTTGGGTTCCATCTCCAGCACTATGTCGGTCCCCTGAACATCGCCAAAAATAACCCTAAATATTGATCCCAGGGGTAGTCCCTGAGCATTGCCATGTGTACACACACCTATACATGGAAAAACACAAACAAAAAAGGCACAGCTGATGGCCCGGGACAGTTTGCTGCTTTGGTTCCGACAAAGACCCTCCACTTTCTTTTCTGGGCATGGCTGAGGGACTCTGCAAACTACCCTTTGTCCTCTCCTTTGTGATTGAGGGTTGCCTGTATGGTTGTCATTTTCTGACCCTCACAGCTCACACACACACACACACACACACGCACACGCACACGCACACGCACACACACACACCAGATGCTACAGTGGCGTAAATTATTTTAAACGAATGTTTACATCGTGTTTGCTGCCCCCACCCTCAGATATGCCTTGACTTTTTCCAGATGGGCTTCCTCACGGCTTCTTTGTCCAGTGGCTGGAAAGGCTGCCCCATTCACATCCATTGGCCATGGATGACCCTTGCATACAGCAGGCGCTTAATCAGTAACCCGGATGATCCCTGCTTCTCTGCATACAGCAGGCGCTCAATCAATAACCCGGATGTCCCCTGCCACCCCACATACAGCAGGTGCAATAACCTGGATGACCCCTGCTTCTCTGCATTGAGCAAGCACGCAACCAATAAGCTGGATGTCCCCTGCTACCCCGCATACAGCAGGTGGTCAATCAATAACCCGGAGCCATCTACTCACTGGATGGGCTCAGGTGTAGGGGTCAGAGAGGGCTGGGTGGCTCTCCCCTCTGATGGAAGGGTGGCACCCTTCCTCGGGGAACCAGCCCCCCACCCCAGGGCCCAGGCAGCCACTCACCGAAGGGGGGCAGCCACTTGGCCTCAGGGGCGCAGAGGTGGCGCTCTTGGCTCCTGCGGCCGTAGGTGGCCGAGTAGATGTTGAGGAACTTGGACTCGTGGCAGTGCAGCTTCAGGGTCTGGTCTTCACACACAGTTTTATTTTTCAGCTCATCTGCAGTAGAGACAAAGCCCGGTGGCACCTGCCTTAGGAGGAGTCGGGGATCAAGGCCCAAGACACCCCTATTCCGAGGGGCAGCACCATGGGTGAGGCTCGCAGGGGTGGGCCTGCCTGCTGGGGGGCGGGGGTGGGAGGATTCCAAAACAGACAACTCTCTGAGGATGCAAAGACCCCGAGAACTAAAGAGGGCCACGGGGAGAAGGTTGGGCCCCCTGGATGGACCTAGCCTTATCGGACGTTTCTCTATACTGCATTTTGGGGTCTCTCATTTCTGAATCAAAGCAGGCTTTTTATAAAATATAGATGTGAACTTCACAAAGAGGGGGGATCAGGAATCACCAGCCTGACTCTAGGTGATAGCACCACCCACTTTCTCATATGTATCAGCCCTCAGTGTATTCAGAGCTTGTTTGGAGGTTCTAGCAGGGGAGTGCAGCTACTCGTAAACCCTCGACCCAAGACCGGTCCATCTCTACTTGGGTTTGATTCCTCTGCCCCTCTCGGAGATCCCGGCAAGCTACCGAGAGTATCCACCCACACGGCAGAGCCTGGCAAGCTCTCCGTGGCTATTGGATATGCCAAAAACAGTAATAACAAGTCTCACAATGGAGATGTTACTGGTGCCCGCTCAAGCAAATCAATGAACAACGGGAGGACAGTGCTACAGTGTTACAGTGCTAATGTATTCAGAGAGAGAGAGATGAGAAAAGCCAACGATTTCCTTTGCTACGGAGGGAGTGAACCTGTTGAGGAATGTCACCTGGTCCAGGCTTTGTGGAAGACAATATGAACATGCCTCAAGAAACTAGGAATTGAGCTTCATACAACCCAGCAATTCTGCTCCTGGAAATAAACCCCAGGGCCCAAAAGCACAATGCAGAAAAGACATTTGCACGCCTATATTCACTGCAGTGCTATATGCAATAGCTAAAATATGGAAACACCCCAAATGCCCACAAATGACTAGATAAGGAATCCATGTGGTACATATTACAATGGAATATTACTCGTCCATAAGGAAAGATAAAGTCATGCAATTTGCTGCAACATGGATGGATCTTCAGAGTACCAAATTGAGTGGAATCAGCCAGAGGAAGAGGAAGACTCAGAATGATCGCTCTCATATGTGGGATATTAAGAGACTTCCTAGGGGCATAGCAAATGCCCATGAGCAGGAGAATTGTTCTTCAATAAGAAGCTTGACACTGGGGCAGGAGTGAGGCAGACAAATCAGAAAAGGAAACACTAGGAAAATGGGGGAAAGTGCCTGCCACAGAGGCAAACTCGGGAGGAAAACTTGGTACATTGGTGGAGGGCAGTGGGTGAAGGGCCTGGTGTTGGAACAATATACTCCGGAAATTCAGTCATAAATATTTCTGGGACTTTGTAACTCACAGTGATTCAATAAAAAATAAAATAAATGCATTAGAAAAAAATTAACTGAGGTCAGAGGGGTAGGGGTAGGACACCTGCCTTGTATACAACCGGCCCAGGTTAGATTCCCGACATTCCTTATGGTCCCCTGAGCACCTTAGCACTGTTGTCCCGTTGTTCATCGATTTGCTTAAGCAGGCATCAGTAATGTCTCCATTGTGAGACTTGTTGTTACTGTTTTTGGCATATCGAATACGAACACAGGGAGCTTGCCAGGCTCTACTGTGCGGGTGCAATACTCTCGGTAGCTTGCCGGGCTCTCCAAGAGGGACTAAGGAATCGAACCCAGGTCGACCGCATGCAAGGCAAACGCCCTACCCGCTGTGTTAGCACTCCTTAAAAAGAAAAAAACATTTTTCCTAAAGGTCAGTTTTACGCTCTATAAATTGTACTGCAAGGAAGTTTTTAAATTGCAACAATCAAATACATGAAGAACTTCCTCACACCCACATCTGCTTGTAAGCTCTTTTCTGAATTTAAATCAGGGCTGGAGAGATATTCATTGGCTGAACAGTAGAAGACTCAGTTTTGATCTCTGTCCCAAGTACAACTGGGTAGGAAGAAAAACCAAACAAACAGTAACCCCCCCCCAAAAAAAAGTAATCACAAATAAATAGTCATTAAATTTACTATGCATTCTTTGTTTCATTTGGAGGCCACATCCAGCAGTGCTCAGGGTTTACTTCAGGCTCTGTGCTTCAGGATAGCTCCTGGCAGGACTCAGAGAACCACATGGGATCTTGGGGATCAAACTCAGGTAGGCCACGTGCAAGGCCAATGCCCTACCCGGTGTACCATCTCCCCAGGCCCCAGATACATACTTACTTATTACTAAAGTATAGACAATTTCATTTTCAAAACAGTCCTTCTGAGAAGCGCCTCTTTCTATCTCCCACACATTCGAGTCCAGCTATTTCGAGATTGTAAGGATGACTCAGCTATGCATGACACCAACTTTGTCTCTTTGGCTCTCTTTCCTAAGCCTGCCACAAATCTCAGCTTTGCAAAATAAAGGTCTTAGAGCTAGAGAAGGAGCCCAGGGGGTTAAGGCTCATGCCTTGTGTACAGGCAACCCCATTTCAATCCCAGCACTTTAGAATTCCCAGAGTCTCTCCAGGGGCAGCCCTGCAGGCTCTGGAGCCCCACCAGGTGTGATTCCAAAGATCCTAGCACCACTTATTGGGGCCCAAGAAACCTGGGAGGCACAGGGCCTACAGCACCGCTTCCTCGGGCCCTTGCATTGAACCATCAGCCCGTTACTGAGAATTGTAGTTTTGAGAATTTTGTTTTGGCCACCTCCAAAACAAAACAAAACAAAATAACCCCCTAGAAAAACAGAGGATCAGGGTTTTTCCCTCTCACCCTCCTTCACATTTTGGAAAGAAACATCCTTAGCAAACACTAGTCCAGCAGATGGGACAGTTTTTGGTCAAAGCAACACAGGCCAGGCGGGGACAACAATGCTAACACATAGATCCTGACAGGCCGTTTGGGCCTCCTGCAAGAGGAAGTCATGGAGGGGACAGCGAGCCCCTTCACTTCCTAGTCCCCACCCCCTTTGGACTTTTCCCTTTCACTCCTTTTTATCTGCCCTTTCTTACTGGACCTGAAGTATAGGCTGAAGCCAGGTTCCAGAGAGATCTCAAGCCAATGCTTTACAAACTATAACAGGAGGTCCATGGACTCCTCAGAAAGTAAGACTGTGAGCAACATTTAAGAATGTGGAGTAAAAATGTACAGTCGAAATGACATCTGCACTTGTATGTTTATTGCAGCACTATTTGCAATAGCCAGAATCTAGAAAAAACCCGAGTGCGTGAGAAGAGATGACCGGTTAAAGAAGTTTTGGTATATCTACACAATGGAATACTATGCAGCTGTTAGAAAAGATGAAATCATGAAATTTTCACATAAGTGGGTGGACATGGAGAGTATCATATTAAGTGAAATGAGTCAGAAAGAGAGGGACAGACATACAGATTGCGTGATTATGTCACACCCTCATTTGTGGAATATAAAGTAATATAATAGGAGACTAACACCTAAGCATAGCAGAGATAAGGGCCAGGTGGATCGCTCCATGGCTTGGAAGCCAGCATCACATGCTGGGGGAAAAGGCAGCTGGGATAGAAAAGGGACCACTAAGTAAATGATGGCTAGAGGGCTCACTTGGGGTGGGAGATGCATGTTAAAAGTAGACTATGGACCAAACTTGATGGCTGCTTAGTACCTGTACTGCAAACCATAACACCAAAAAGGAGAGAGAGAGAGAGTAAGAGGGAATGTGCCTGCCACAAAGGCAGGGGGTGGGATGGGGTGGGGGGGTGGGAGGGATACTGGGAACATTGGTGGTGGAGAATGGGCACTAGTGGAGGGATGGGTGCTCGAACATTTTATGACTGAAATGCAATCACAAAATCTTGTAAATCTGTAAAAAAAAAAGAAATGCCTAATAAAAGATGGAAACTTGGGGGAAAAAAAAAGAATGCGGACTAAGAAAGCCATCAGCCTGAGCAGGGCTGTGGTGAAAAAGGAACGTCACCTCTGTTGGCGGAAATGTTCAACCTCTCTGGGAAAGCCCTACGGAGATTTCTCCCAGAAAAGTAGGAAGAGAAGTAGGAAGAGAACCCTCATTTGACCCCGCCCAACCACTTCTTGGCATCTATCCCGCAAACACGAACATATGACTTTGAAAGGATCTATTTGTTAGTATGATAGAAACAACATGGAAACCACCCAAAAGTCCAACAACAAAGGAACCAATCAAGAGGTTGCGGTATATACACTCAACGGAATACTACACAGTTGCAAGAAAGGACACAATCACGCAATCTGTAGTGACAGAGATGAAACTAGAAGGTATCAGGCTTAGTTAAGTCAAAAGGAAAGGGCCAGAGAGATAGTCCAGTGGGTAGGGCACTTGCCTTGCGAATGCAAGTTGACTGGAGGCCATTCTCCAGTACACAGTACAGTTCACCGAGCCTGCTGGGAGTGATCCCTGAGCACAGAGATAGTTCAGAGCACTACCAGGAATCCTCCCCCCCCCCCCCCACACACACACACATTAAAGAAAAAAGAGAGAAACAGATACAGAATGATCTCTTTCTATGTGAGATTTAAAGATAACAGTGAAGGGAGCATCAAATAGCCAAGGGTCACAGAACTGGAGAATTGGTCCACAGAACTGAGTTTGGGGCAGGGGAGAGGGGGTGGAAGGGGCGTTTGGGAGCTTGGTGGAGGGAAGGGAGGCTGATGGCTGTGGTGTGGGAAAGATGCAGTCACGAGCCTATCATTAGCAATGCTGGAAATCACAGCGCCGCAGCAAAGACGCCAAAAAGAGAAGAACACGGAGACATCCCAAACATCTTTCCAGTTGGGTCAGACTAGGAGGCCAAAATGTTTTCCTGCCTCTGTGGCCTGGGCAAGCCCCCACCTGAATGAAGCCTTAGCAGCAGGAGTGAGTAATTAATTCATTAGGGAAATGAGGAGGGGGGGGAAGGAGTCAAAGGAGGGTGGCCCTTTCATCTCCTGGAATCGAAGCCCCCGAGTGATCACAGGGA